AAAAAAAAAAAAAGGATTAAAGATATTTCTATTTTAATTTATTAGGATTTAGAATTTTCGTCTTTCTAAAAGGAGCTCGTCTCCAAGTTTCTTTCAATTCCGACAAATTTGTTAATCTAGGAAACGGAGATGGCAGAAGATAGCGGCTCGCGGTACTCTGTCGATAAATCCTTGTATCAAACAAGTGAATATCATTGCGGTGGTGAGTGTTGCGGGAGCAACGAGTGCTCCATATCATCGACAGACTTCGTATCATCGAGCAATCGAGCGAATGTTAGATCGAACACTCCGGTCGGTCAGAGAAATGCTTTAAAGTAAATAGACTGTCGTACAGACGTGATAGATAGAGTTAATAAAAGAATATCGTAATTCCATGAAGCGTCATTTAAGATCATCTCGAAGCATGGTGGCTCCGACGTCGCAGAGGAAGATCGGAGAGAGCAACGAACATTTGTACACGATCGATTACAGTCACGTAGGTGATCGTCCTACGAAGTATGTTAATTCGAGCAACAGTCGTAGAATAGATTTTCGAGCGGAAGATATAAATCACGAAACACGCACACAACAGGTAACCAATCGATTTCGATTGTTTTCATTTGTGCAGCGAATGACTCGGGAGATTTTAGAAAGATCTCTCATTTTGTTACTTGTTATCTGTTTATTAGAAACACGAGGGAAATGAATGCCTGTATGAAGATATGTTGAAAACTCGCAGAAAAGGATTTAGAAACGAATCGGTAACAAATTTCCGTGGCAATGACGTGTATTTCACTGATCGAGGAGGGGAAGCTGACGATGAAAATTCTCAACACGGAGAACGAGCGTGTAGGAAGCACGATCTCGATGAGAAACCTCAAAGAGAGAATCCGTTGTTCGAGAAAAGTTCGGACGACTCGATGTTTGATTGCTACGATGACATTTACGAAGAACCTATCCTAAAAAGTAGGTCCAAGTACTCTGATTTTGCGTTATTTAAAAGGAGAAATTATTTAATGAAATAGATGCTGCGAAATGGATGTAGGAAACTCTCATTTTTGAAAAAGGATCCACGCGTCGATTTC